CCCCAGTCATCATATTTAGCACGTCGTCAAGGCGAGGAATTGGAAAACGATACTTGACTGTAATTTTGTTGATGGCTCGGCTGTCAACGAACATTCGCTAAGAGCCATCCTTTTTGGGGGTCAAAAGGGCAGGGACAGCACACGGGCTAAGGCTTTCTTTGATGAATCCACGTTGCAGGAGTTCATCTACTTGTTTCTTCAGTTCAGCATACTCCATTGGGTTCATACGATAATGAGGGAGGTTTGGTAGGGAAGCTCCGGGTACTAAGTCAATGACGTGTTGGATGTCTCTAAGGGGTGGGAGCTAGTTGGGTAATTCTTCGGGGAAGAAATTAGCAAAGGTTTCAATAAGAGGTTTAACTTCATCGGGGACATGTTCCTCTTGATCAGCGTCAACTTCTCTAGCTACTAGGGCATACATGGGATCCTTGGTGAAGCTCAACGCCCACTTCTTTCGCAGTCAAGAAGTGTAAGCCTTTACTAGGTTTAACGGGAGTTGCCTTAACTTCGATCTTGTTGGGCTTAGGTTGAGAGGGGATTAATTTGACATTCTTGCCGTTGTGTTCAAACACACAGGTGTTTGTTCTCCCATAAATGTGGACGTCGTTGTCAAATAGCCAAGGGTGACCAAGGATAATCTGCCTCACGTCCATTGTCAACACGTCACACCAGACCTTTTTTTGATACCCAACAAACTCGAGGGGAATAAGGCTTCTGTCTTTTATTTTCATGGATGTCGAGTTAATCCATAAAACCTTATAAGGATTTGGGTGGGGTGCCGTCTTTAAGTTACATTTGGAAATCATAGCGAAAGAGACGACGTTGATGCAGCTTCCACTGTCGAATGTCGATGATGACTTTACAGTTTTTATCTCCAATCTTGATAAAGGTATTAAAAATGGAAGTCCTACGCCAGTCAGCAATCGATTTTGGTTGGGAAAACGCACATCTAACAACTTGTAGATCAACAGGGTCATACTCATTGAAGGAGTCTTCTTCCTCATCAACATGATGAACTAAATCAGTCTCAGGTTCTTCCTCATCTTCATCCACTTCTTCAATTATAGTGACCTTATAGGGACTAGAACATTGCAAGGCAATGTGCTCATATCCATGACACCTATAACACTTGGTTCCAGAAGTGGCTTTGGGAGTGTCACGCTCGGGAGTCTTACCTTTAAAGTCGGGACGGGATTGAGGTTGACTCACAGTTGGTCGGTTAACTACGGGACTAGCAGGTCAGGTTTGAGGTTGGCTGGAAGAAGCTCTATATGGGCCTGAGCGGGAGTCTGGGTGCCTAGAGTGAGAATGGTTACTGGACTCTTCAAGGTCGACCACTAAATTACAAGCTGCTTCCAAAGTGTCAAATTCCTCTCGCGAAAAGTTCATTTCGGAGGTCCTCTCTTAAGTCGGCTCTAAACATTGAAAAGATTTGGACTGGGGTAGTGGTCTCCTCACCACTGCAACGAATCAGGTAGTCATCAAAGGCAGAGATATAATCCTTGACAGGTTTACTCCCTTGGGTGAGCCTATTCCACTTATCTAAGAGTTTAGGGTAGTACGAAGAGGGTAGATATTTTCTCTTAAGTTCCTGTTTCATGGTTCTCCAATCGGTGATAGGATGCTCACCTTGAGCTTTACGAATGTTCTCCAAATTTTTCCAGTAGTGGTTGGCTCGGCCTGTCAGTTTCATCTCCGCAAATCTAACTTTTCGTTCTTCTGAGATGCTGTTCTATTTGAAATAACTATCCATCCCTTTTATCCAGTCTAAGAAAATTTGCGTGTCGAGGGTACCTTCATAAGTAGGTGCGTCTATTCGAATGTTCTTAAGCAACTGAGCATCGATATCTCTCCCAGTGGGTACACGTCCTATAGGGTCTTGGTTTGGTCTAATGTTATGACGATAGTGGTCTCTATTCATTCCATATTCAGCCCTAGTCTCATCACCATATGGGGAGTGTGGTCCAGACGGGGTGTAAATTATAGGGTGTCCTAGCCGTTCAATGTTATCAAGTCGCTCACCTGTTTGATGCTTAAAGTCTGCTAAGTCAGTCTTGGTATTCCGGATTTGCTGAGTCATCGTCCCAAGTTGACCCACGATGAGGTCTAGAGTCGCTTGTATGTGTTCTGGATCCATGGTTGGGTGCTAGGGGACACTAGGGAAGGCTAAGGGCTGAAGGGCAGCACCTAGACACTCTAAAATTATATTTCTTAAGTCTCCAAATAGTGCAGGAAGGATTAGGACAGCAAAGTTCAGCAAAGGTCCAGGTTGTCTAGGTGTTTTGGAAGGGTCTTGGGGTGTGGACAACACCTAAACAATGACTTTAAGTTCACTAAAAGATGTCTAGATGGTGCTGGAACAGTGAGGACAGCAGCTAAAGTTGATGGTGTAGTTTCTCTAAGCACTTAGAATCGCTCTGGGTCTAATGGCAGCACTAAGATACTAGCTAGAATGACTTAAACTCTACTAAATGCGTGCAGGAAATGCAGGGACAGCAGTGAAAACAGTGAAAAAAAATTAACTACGCGATGAAATGCATGTAAAATTTAAGCTTTAACGAAAGGGTAGACCATATGATGTTTTTCTAATACATGTCATGCATGCCAACCTGACTCTGATACCAAATATGATGTGATACATGCTTGGAGTTACAAAAGATTAACAAGAGAATTTAATAGAAGTTCACATTTATAAAATTATGCGTCAATTCAAAGTAAGTTATCAGAATTCGTTGTCTTCCATTTGCTTAGGCAAAAAAATGCATGAAGAATAACCAAGACACTCTCAATCCAATATAAAGGCGAAGTAATGTAAAAACTTGTAACACAAATCCAAAAATTAATAATGAAATGTTCACCTTGAGGATCTACTCTTTCTCTACGAATCTAGGTTGAGCGGAGGAAGATCTTCCACACTAGAAATGAAGTGACCACTAGGAAAGACGAGCCGAGGAACGTCGTTGTTGGGAAGTAGCCGGAGATGGAGGCGGCGCGGAGCGTCCAATGAGGGACCACGGGGTTCGTGGTCATTGAAGTTCAATGGTCCCGGCAAGGCAATACACAATACGGTTGACGTAGCGTTCAACGGTGACGTCGTATTCCCAATCCGGTTCGTAGAAAGGGGAGAGGAAAATGTCGATCTCCCCTTGCTCGTTTTATGCGAAACCGTGGTCGACTTCAGGATCGGCCATACACTGTAAGCATGGGGATGAGGGAGCACGAGAAGGAAGATCCAAGAGAGAAGAAGGGTGGAGAGGGGAAAAGGGTTGGGCCGTGGGCTAGAGGGGAGAAGGGTGAGGCTATTTTGTGGGAGGAATAAATATGAAGTTTAATTTCAGATTCTAAGAAGAATCCAAATTTAATTTCAAATTCATATTTTGAAATTTGAAATTAGAGTTTAGAAAGGAAATGCATTAATGAGGTATTAAGTGGCGATTAAGTGGTAATTGGAGAGAGAAAGAAAGGAGGAGGGGGGCCGGCCATATGGGGGAGGAGAGAGAGGGGTTTGGAATTAAGCATGTGGGGACCACAATGGGTTAATTAATTCTATTCAAATCTGAATTTTAATTTCAGAATTAATTGAATGTGAAATAACTCCCAAATTAGAATTAGAATTAGAATGAGAGGGAAAGTAGTTTGAATTTCAAATAGGTTGTAACTCCTTTAAATATCTTTCCTAAATAGACAAAGCCTAATTAGTAAAGCAAATTAAGAAAGGAGAATTCGAAATTTGAAAAGGAAGAGGGCCAAGAGGGGGTCGGCAGCAAGGAGGGTGGCCACGGGTGGGGCTTGGACCCGGCGGCTGGCGGCAGGGAGCTGGAAGGGCCGCCGGTGGCTGGACCGGCCAAGGGAGGCCACAGTAGAGCGGGTGGGTGGGAAATTTTGGGGAGAAGGGGAATTTTCGACTAAGTAGAGCAAGAAGGGATTGGTGTAGGAAAAAGAAATTTGTCAAACTACAAACCTTGAATACCACTTCCACAAGAACTCGCAAAGAGATCCACATTAATATCTCCTCAAGAACTCACAAAGAGATCTTGGGAAATCTCACAAACTCACAAAGAGATCTCAACGGAAAGAAATTTTCATTCAACAATAATCTCATACAATAGAAGAGGCCATAATATATAGTCCTAAAGAAAAACAAAATACAATGACGTGCATGCCCCTAGGGCTACTACTCAAGACAAATAAAAGCAAGGGTACAAACGGTAATATCAAATAATAAATAAAATCAAAATAAAACTAAGCATCAAAATAAAGACTGTGAATCGTAGCCATTGATCTGCGCCTCCTGCGCTGATATACTCGTCAAAAACATCCGTCGATGTCCTCATCAAGATGCATTCTAATTCCACCCAAAAGATCTTTAAAACAAGCACGTCAAATATCAATGTAATGTGAGAAAAGCTAGGATAAAAAAAGGAGGAAATGCGGGTCTTATGATGTCACCCTATAAATAAGAAAGTCTAAATACGCATGAGAGTCAATAATATAATGCAGAGATGTAATATTATCCTAGACTTATGTTGACTTGCCTCAACCTCAATTTTATGAATGCTTTCATCCAAATCATACTGCAAAATTTATATCAGATCTAAAAAGCTCCTCAGGCCTGGGAGAAATTATTCTATGCAGACACCGGATCATCCGGAAGCGAATCAGAACGCACCACTTCACCCAGTACATAACCGCGGTACAGAGCAAAAAAGTGACGTGACACATTCTGATTAGTCTCTAGCGGCATCCATAACCGCACAGAATAATTTTACCAGCCTTGCGGCATGCACCAAAAAAAGGAACTAAACTATGATGTACAATGAATGAGACTAAGGCCTCGTTTGGGACGGCTTTTTTACTGCTTCTTAAAGCAGCTTTCTAATACAAAAATTAAAAATTTGTACTAGAAAGCTACTTTAGAAAGCATTAACAAAACTGTCCAAAACAAAGCCTAAGACATAAAACAGCAGAAATTAGTTTCATTAAAGCAAATATCAACTACTAATAAGCTGGCACAAAGTCCAGGGACCAGTTTCTCAACAAGGTATTTAGGATTGCATGAGGCTCTGCTTACAATTAATATCCTTATAACATCTTAAAGAACCAGTTATACCTTTCATTTCTCCCTTGGGGTTCACAATGACTCCAGCATTGTCTGCAGATTTCAAAGAAATCAAATTAAGTAGAGAAGTGGTCGCCAAACGATCAGTTGCATAAACAGTATCTAAATAATAGTTTTGTATAATAAGATTGGTTATAGACACCTGAGATCTGACTATAAGATATATTGATAAGGTAAAGATCTGCAGATATCCTGATTATATTTAAAATTGCCGGGAAACCAAAATATGTTAAACTACATTATAATTTACCAGAAGACAAGAAGCAAGATGCCATGGCCATGCAGTCTGAACATTGCCAGTTAACTATGGGTGCTTCTTATTGAAAAAAATAATCAATAATGACAATCAGTGGCAATAGGCCACAATTAATGGCAATTATATTGAATTAAAACAATGCAAAACATCAAAATTTATACTTAAAATCATGATCATCATCACCAACAACAACAACAACAACATCAAGCCTTTATCCCACTACGGGGTCGGCTACATGAATCCTTTTTCTCCATTGTGTCCTATTAAAAGTCAAATTCTCGTTTAAATCTAATAAAGAAAGGTCATTCATAATATTTTCTAACCAAGTCTTTTTAGGTCTACCCCTACCTTTCTTAACATAAGTCAAATCTAATACCTCTACTCTCCTAACTGGGTCATCGGAAGGCCGCCGTTTTATGTGACCAAACCATCTAAGGCGACTCTCTCTAATCTTATCTTCTACTGGAGCTACTCCAACCTTTTCACGTATATGCTCATTTCGTATCCTATCTCTAAGGGTAAAGCTACTCATCCACCTAAGCATTCTCATTTCTGTCACACTTAACTTAGTATTATGCTTCTCTTTTAATGGCCAACATTCGGCGCCATAAAGCATTGCAGGCCTCACTACCATCTTATAGAATTTTCTCTTAAGTTTGAGGGGTACATTTCTATCACATAACAAGCCCGATGCATTCCTCCACTTCAACCATCCAACTTGAATTCTGCTGATAATATCCCCATCTATTTCACCATCACTCTGAACAATAGATCCAAGATATCTAAAACGTGTACTCTTATTAATGACTTGATCGCCCAAAGTCACAATCCCCTCACTAGGTCTATTACTACTAAAATTGCACTCCAAATATTTCGTTTTAGATCTACTCAAGCGAAATACTTTAGACTCTAAGGTTGACCTCCATAATTCAAGTTTACCTTCAACTCCCTCTCTAGTCTTATCAACAAGAAGAATATCATCAGCAAAAAGCATACACCAAGGTACATCCTCTTGCAAATGTCTAGTGAGAACATCCATGACTAAAGCAAAATGATCATCATCACCATAAATTTTAAAATAATTTCTTAAAAATACAAAATAATATTAAACTAAGAAAATAATTTCATTTCCCTAACATGATTAAAAATATTTTCCATTATCAGTAACAATAAAGAAAAGGTGGCCCTCTTCAAGGAAACCTGCATTTGAATTTTCTTCATAATTGTAAAGGGAATTACAACCTTGGCAAAAATTTCAGAAATATTTGTTATTTTGTCCAAAAAATGACTCCCTAATTTGTTTTGTTTCACATCATATGCAGCATAGATGATTGAGACTAGAAAGACGGTCCAAAGTACAGACATCATTGCACACCAATAAACATGATTATGCAGAGAAGATGAAGACAGGGCACCGGATCAACATAATTTTGAGCATTCAACAACTTCAGCCTTACAAAAGATGCCTAACAAATTTTGATCGGAGCTAGGGGTGCAAACGAGTCGAGTCGAGCTCAAGTCACCCTTCGCTTGAGCTTGAGCTTGATTAATTAATTGAGTTCGAGCTCGAGCATTATTCAATTCAAGCTTATTTTATTATGAAAGAGAGAAAATAATTATGATTTTAAGTAATTATTATAATAAAATAGTAAAAAGAATGAGAAATTATAAGAACAATAATAAAGAATTACATAATACAAAAAATTGGGATATAGTTTTTAAATATTTTTAACAACATCGTATTTAAAATTCTAAATTCTAATATATTTTGTATATTTATATTAATATTTTTTAAACGAGCCGGCTCACAAGCTTACGAGTCGAGTCAGCTCTTTAGCTCATCGAGCTAGGCTCACGAGCCATTTATCGAGCCGAGCTCGAGCCAACTCACGAGTCGGCTTGACTCACTTACACCCTAATCGGAGCAACGGTATGTTTCATACACATGGTGGACATCTAAAAGCTATCTTTCAATATAATCCAAAAATAAGTTTACATCAGGACAATTCCAAAGAGTATTTGGGAAACTAAAAGCCCAAAATGAATAACAATTAACAACTTAGGCTTCTAGCATCTTTGCCACTGAGATAAGGAGACTTAGCAAACAAGTTCTCAGCAGTACACTGTGCTGGCAGTATAAGATCAAGGATGGAAGAAGTTTGACTCTGTGTAATTACTAAAATTTTGGTGCTTGCACAAGCTAAGCCTGGATAAGAAAAGTCATTTTAAGCACATTAAGTCAACGGTCATGCTCGTTTGTCAAAACTGAGGAAGAATAGTAGAGAAGAAGAGTTTGATGAGCTACAGCATAGTTAACTACCGGCCATAAAGAGCTTGAAGCATCAGATTTTCCAAGGAAACGGGATCAGAAGTGCAACAGTTTTATCATAGAATGCAACAGCATAAAAGGATCTGTGGAAGTGACACTAAAAACAGACTATAATTCGGGGAACTGTATTGCGCCTAGCAATAGTGGCGGTAGAGAACAATAAAGGTAAACAAACAGTGCAAGCATTTGCATGCAAAAATGGTTGGATAAAAATGAACAAAAATCAAACCAGACAACTCAGATCATTAATCAATTGCATGGAATGAAAGAAGCCACAAATGTCAAATAACTTCACTTGAAGTTACACAACAAACTTAGAATTCTATTATAAATAATTTACAAACAAAATTTTGGCAATTTGCATCTTTATAAATCCACAAATAAAAAGGACTTAGTTTACAATTATTCAATATTAACATGACAGTATCTATGAAATCATTTAAACACCAATATGCACAAGTGAATAAATTTTCAATATCAGGGTTGCTGAGCTCAGGAGTACCCTTGAAAAAAATAACCATGTATTTTATAAATAAAAAAATAGTTTAGTGCCTTGATCTTCATAAAATGACTAATGGATCACATTAGGATCTATTGTAAGTTAAGTAATAACTACTGATATTCAGTGTTAGGTATCCATTCATCTAGATTTCCAATTATGGCGCAAATACTTCAAAGGGCTTTGTCACCTCAAACACTTGGAAACCTAAAAAATATGATATCAAGTACAACTAAAAATTGCCACTTTGTTCAGCTTTCTTAAAAAATGTTCCATCAATTAATGGCCATCACTACCACGTGGCACCATCTCATTATCAACCAAAATAACTGTTAGACCAGTCCAGCCAGTCCATACAAAACCGGCTCACGGAGACAGAGGCGGAAGAGTTCTGCCTCTCCTATACGCGCAGACTGAAACGCCCAATCCAACGGAGCGGTTTAGGAAGGATTTTTGAGGGAGTTAGGAGGAAATTTGAATGTAGGGACTGTTTAGAGATTTCCTTTTGGATTGTATGCATTAAATAGTTTGTTTTTCTAGGGTTAGGGCATCTTGAATTTGGCTGTAATTTGAGATCTCTTAGGTTTCTAGGCTCTAGCGGCGTCTAGAGATTTGGGAGAGATAGATCCTCCTCTCGAATAGAGAATCAATTGTATCTTGGTATTTTTCGTTTCTATTTCATCAAATAAGACAAATTATCTACTGTTCTTCTGATTTTGTGTGGATTTTTGTGGAGAATTCTTGCTGTTTTCCAAATATTATTAGGAAACTCTTGAGATCTTCAAGTGTTCCCTATCAAATTGGTATCAGAACGGTTTCCAGGCTGTTTTTGGAGAATTCCTACAACAGATTTTTCTATTTCGGACGAGATTTTTGCTATTTATAGGGGGGAAATCCGAATTTTTGAGCCTAACAAAGAGCCGGGGATATATGGCAGGAAAAAAACTTGAAATAGTAGAAGGGGAGATAGATAGGAAGTACTTGAGTTCGCGAGTAACCCTAAGGGTAATACTTGAGTTCGCAAGCAAACCTAATAAGGATTGGCAAAAACAGCGAGAAAATGGGCTGATTTCAGAGAGAAATCAGCATAAACAGTCAAGGAATTTTAGTAGATTGTAGAAGAAACACAAAGGAAATACTTTGATTCAATCCAAGAACAAGAAAACAAACCGAGATACAATTTCTTCAATTCGAGAGGATGAAATACTCTCCAAATCTCTGCCTAGAGCCCACACCAAACAAACCCTAGATCTCAATCTCAAGATACTCTAACCCTAGCCTCCAAAAGACTAATTAAAGCCAAAGGAAGCTTACAAAATTCCTAAACAGTCCCTAATTCAAAATTTTCCTCCTAAACACAATTTCATTAGGTAGAGGGCCCCACTAGGGCTTCCTACCCCTCCTTTGGTTCCGCCCAAAGCTTGGGCTGGCGGCTATAGCAATGAACCGGTCCCTATTGGACCAGTTCAGCCGGCCCCTCTTGGGCCGACAGCGTAACAATGATCGGACAAATGAAATCTAAAATTTTAGATCTCCAAACTCAAGTTTCAAATTTAAAGAAAGATAATTCAGTCATCCATGATAAGATCGATTTGAATTTTTTCATTCTGGAGGAGATGTTGAAGAGAGTGCTCGAGTGAAAAAACCAGAAACATGTCGTCGGAGGTGAGGGAAGTCACTGACAGCCAGGGAAGTGGGGAAAACCCTAGGCCAATCAGGCAAAAAAAAGATCAGGAGGTTGGGATTTCGGAAGGAACAAAAAAAAAGACTCCCGTAGGGCTTATTCCTAGGGAGGCGTCGGGTAAAGGGTATGTGGAGAGGCATGAGGGGTTTGAATTTGAAAGAAGATGAGCTGAATTTGAAAGGGGAGGACTTGATTATGATCGAAGAGGTGTCAAATTTGAAAGGAATGGGGTTGAATATGATCGAAGGGGTGCTGAAATTGAAGGGAGAATGTGGGCTTGTGATGAAAAGTTTAGGTGCGGGTGGAGGAGGAATGATTGGCACAATTGGGGGGAACCACCCCCTTAAAGAATGGGAAATTTTGGAGGAAGTAGGGTTGACGGACGAGATCTGAGAGTGGGAAGACTGAAGATGCCTATTTTTTAAGGAGATGATGCACATAAGTGGATCAATAGGGTGAAAATGTACTTTACTGTCAATAGGTTGACGGAAGAGGAAAGACTGACGGCAGCTGGCCAATGTTTGGAAAGGAAGGTTAGTGGAGGGACATGCGAAGACCCATACGGAGTTGGAGGGAGTTCAATGATTGCCTTTAAGAATGATTCCAAGCCGGCAGGAGAGGAGACTTCTACGAGCAATTTTTCACCTTGATACCGGGAGAGGTTCGAGCACCTGGCTAGCCGATTGGACCGTCTTTCTAAGATTGTGTTAGAAGGGAACTTCATGAAGGGACTGAAACCAGAGATCCGGGCGACAGTTACGGCGATGAGATCACGTGACTTGGGAGAGGCTATGGAGCTAGCTCAATTGGTGGAGGATCAGAGGCACCTGGAGAAAGGAAACGAAGCCAATAGCTCAGGCGACATGTACAGGATGACCACCACCTTTTTGTCATCCAAGGAGCTAACATCGAGTACCCTTCGGGAGACCCGAAGGAGAAGATTGTTGGTGGAAAACTTGGGAACAACTTCAAGAAGCTCACAAAAATGAAATTACAAGAGAAAAGGGATAAGGGGCTCTGTTTCAGATGCATACGCCGAGGCACAGGTGTAAAGACCGAACTCTTCAGATTTTTAGGGAGTTATGGAGGAGATTTGAATGTAGGGACTATTTAGAGATTTCCTTTTGGATTGTATGCATTAAATAATTTGTTTTCCTAGGGTTAGGGCATCTTGAATTTGGCTAAAATTTGAGATCTCTTAAGTTTCTGGGCTCTAGCGGTGTCTAGTGATTTGGGAGAGATAGATCCTCCTCTCGAATAGAGGATCAATTGTATCTTGGTATTTTTTGTTTCTATTTCATCAATTAATAAAAATTATATACAATTTTCCTGGTTTTGTGCGGATTTTTGTGGACAATTCTTGTTGTTTTCCACATATTGCTAGGAAACTCTAGAGATCTTCAAGTGTTTACTATCAATAACCTAGTCTCCTTTCATCAATATAAAAAAATTATCATCATTAGCCTTATGCCAACTATTTGGGATCATCTATATGAATCAATCATTTTCCATTCAATCCTTTTTTATGATTATAGTTTGAGATATTAAGTCTAGTATTCACAAATCATTTTGAACAACTTTTATCCATATTTCCTTGAGGCTATCAATTATACTTTCTAATCATCTTATACTAATTTTATCAACTCACCTAAAGGATCCAATTTCTATTTTTCTTTATAAATGTGCAAGGCGTCTAAATCTATTTTCAATTACCTTAAATTGTTCCTCTAACATAATCACTCATTAACTTATTTGTCCAAGTTTTGTCACCACATCCATCTTAATATTCTCATTTTAACCACACTTGATTAGATATAAATGAATTCTTTGATGTACAATACTTTAATCCATGCAAAATGACCAATTTAATTGACATTATAAAATTTACCTTTTAGTCTATATGTCATCCTCCTATCTTATAATAACCTTCGGGTCTTCTCCATTTTAATCAATGCAGGTTAACTCTAAAAATAATATCACCATCTATATCTCCATTCATCTGTAAAATAAATCCAAAAAACTTAAACATCTAGCCTATCACACATGGATAATAAAGTTGTCTCCTTTCAAAACATGATTTCTAAATTCAAGCAACCAAATTAGCTTTTACTGTACTCTACTAGGCTTCGATAACACTAAAACTTGTTTAGACACTGTTAAAAACAGCTTAGAATCACATCAAAATCAATTTCTGGTTAAATCTAAAAAAAATTGGAGCTCCATTAACCAAAGCTGGAAATGAAATGAAATTTCTAATTCCAGTTGCGTTAATAGATATTTAAAATTTCAACAACTAATACAACATCATTATAAAAAAAATGAAAGATAGCGGGATCACCTTCAAAGTACATGTAAACGCCATCCTTTCGGCGCCAGGGCTTGCGCTGCCTTACGATAACAGCAGGCATGACCTTCTTCCTTAGATCGGGCTTCCCCTTCTTAACAGTGGCCATCACCATATCACCGACACAGGCAGATGGGAGTCGGTTGAGCCGACCCTTTATCCCCTTCACCGAAATGATGTAGAGGTTCTTTGCACCGGTGTTATCGGCGCAGTTCACCGTCGCCGCCACAGGAAGACCCAGTGACATTCGAAACTTGTTTCCCGCAGAGCCACCCCTCCCTGTATAGTGATATCACCACCAAAGTTGAGATTTTAATGAGAATACACCGCATTTTCCCCCTTTTTGCACTAGCAAAAGAAGAAAACGTGGATCTGGAAACGGAACCTTTACAATAATCTTATGAAGAAAGTAGCGAGCTTACCGCGCTTCGACATCTTCGAAGAGCTTGATCAACACTTCCCCAGCACGGTGGTTTCAGATAACCGCTCTTGATTTAATCGAGTGGGATTGCCGCCTAGGGTTTTTCGGAGGGTACATGTCATTTGACCATAATACCCTTTAGAGATTTTGAAGAGCGAAAAATGCAATAAATAAAATTTAGAATATATAAACTTTAATTTTTATAATAACAATTATGTAAATTTCTAAATAAAAATAATTAACTAGGTAGAATGGTAGTTCTTGCCATCTTCTATGGTTTAAATTTCATTATCCTCATTATAGGCCTCTGAAATATCTTTTTATGGGGTAATTAAGGGCGAAGTTTAATTTCACTAATTATAAAGAATAATTATATCATTGGTTAAAATATATAGCAATAACTAAATTGGGAATTATACTTGAAGCCATAAAATTGCTTACAAAATAAATACATTGATGTAGCATGTTAATGCAACATTTGTAGTGACCCTCTTTTTAATATTTTTTTTTTATAATTTATTTTGTTGATCATATTGATTTTATTTTTTAAAAATACATATTTAAGTGAGGTGGCAACTTTAGTGAGATTTTTTATAGCTTAATAGCTTTAGGTGATGGTGATTTATAAATAGAGATTTTATTTCTACACCACCTAACAAGAAGTCAATTGGAATTTTTAAGGTGCCAAATATTCTAGAAATTATTCTGTGCAAAAGCCGGACGAAAAATGTTGTCAAGAGATCAATCAGAATGCGACACATTAATAGTATCATGCTGTGGTACTGAACGATACCGAAAAAAAAGATGATCTGATGCATTCTAGTTGATCACGCCACAAAATAATTAATTTAAATGATGGGACTTGTACATAATAATTTTTCCAATTCGAGATGATGGATAGGAAATTTATTAGGTCCGGAAACCAGACTTAGAAATAGGTTTGGATATTCAATTAAAATTTGCCACATGGATTGTGCTTTGACAGTGCTTTTTGACTGCGCTTTGACATTGCTTTTTGACTGTGCTTTTACTGCACTTTGAATGCACTTTTGACGTGCTTGACTTAAAATTCTACAGACATGTGTATATTTCGCATGTCAATATTTTATTATACACTGATTTCTCTTTACGTTAGATGTCCGGACCTAATTATCTTTCTGAAGGATAAGAGGTATGGGATGGACCACTTTACTTCGATGTCAAGGTTGATCTTACCTGCATGCCAATCTAGATGCCAAAATCCATTTCTTCCCATAACCGGCCCTGATCCTGTTTTTCAAAGGGGCAAGGATACTCCTATCTACGACTGATAACACTCCAGATCCGGTTCAACGTCGCCGTAATTTGCGCCGCCCAAATTTACATCATACGAAATGGTAGTTTCCTGCTCTCACCAGCAATCTATTGCTTGTATTCAATTAACGATTGCAAATATTTGATTCCAAATTTGTTCTTCATTTTGTGCTTGAAAAACCTTTTTGTCTAGCTCTGTGTGCATTTCAATCTTACTAGGGTTCTCTTCTCTCCCTATCGATTCTGCTCTTTTACAGCAACCTTTCCGCTGTGGCGCTAGGTCTCGCCTCATGTAAATCCGATTCGTGCTTCCCTTTGTTGTGTTCGGCGCTGTGAAAACGCAGACTTCTGCCTTGTCTCGCGGTTGAGATCTACTAGTCTCGTTTTTTATTTCTCGAGGTTTTTTAGGGAATGGATTTTGAAGGGAAACTGCCACGTCTCCTTGTCCTTTACGCTTCCCAGACTGGGAATGCCATGGATGTGGCAGATCGCGTGGGAAGGGAGGCGGAACGAGGTGGCTGCCCTTCCGTTGATGTATTGTCCATGGATGCATTCGATGCGAGCTCTTTACCTAAAGAACGAATGGTCATATTTGTTGTGTCAACCACCGGACAGGGCGAGAACCCAGATTCAATGAAGGTTTTTTGGAAGTTTCTTCTGCAGAAGAATTTGGGTCATCACTGGTTGGATGGTGTTAATTTTGCAGTTTTTGGACTTGGAGACTCTGGTTACCAAAAGTACAATTTTGCTGCAAAAAAGTTGGATAAAAGGATTATAGATCTAGGGGCAAAACCTGTCATAGAGAGAGGTTTGGGAGATGATCAACACTCATCTGGGTATGAAGGCTCCCTTGATCCTTGGTTGGTGTCATTGTGGAACAAGCTGAACCACATGAATTCTGCAGTTTTACCAAGAACTTCAGATATATTTGATACCAATAAGAGAGCTTTAGGTCATTCGAAATATCGAATTACTTATCATAATAGTTCTAATGAGTTGCAGTTGGATCTTTCATCATTTACAGACTTTCATGGTTTTGAGAAGATGGTTGAGATGGCTCGTTCAATGTCTCCAGTAGCACAACATCACAGCAGCGATGGCATCCAACATTGCTCCTCCCTAAGAATGTTGACAAATAAGCGGTTGAGTAAAGGTGATCCAAGTAGGGATGTGCGTCATTTTGAATTTGAATTTCTATCCTCTGGATATGAGTATCAAGTTGGTGATGTACTTGAAATTCTCCCAAGTCAGAATCCCATAGCTATTGATGCATTTATAGAACGTTGTAACCTTGATCCAGATTGTTACATCACCGTTCAACCCCTAACAAATTATAAATGTTCTTTTGAGTCTCAAGTTAATGTCTCCACAAACCTGAACCCAATCAAATTGAAAACTTTTGTGACTTTGACAATGGATATTGCCTCTGCTTCTCCTCGACGTTATTTATTTGAGGTTATGAGTTATTATGCAAAAGCTGAGCATGAAAAGGAAAGGCTGCAATATTTTGCTTCTTCAGAAGGGAGGGATGATCTCTATCAATACAATCAAAAGGAGGGAAGAACTGTCTTAGAGGTATTAGAGGACTTCCCCTCTGTCCAAATGCCATTTGAATGGTTAGTGCAATTGGTTCCTCCTTTAAGAACACGAAAATTTTCAATTTCTTCTTCTCCTTTGGCTCATCCAAATCAAGTACATTTAACAGTGAGTGTAGTATCCTGGACAACTCCATACAAGAGAAAAAGGCATGGTCTCTGCTCATCATGGCTTGCTGGATTAGATCCTCATAATAATAGAGAAATTTATTTACCTGCTTGGATCCATAAAGGCTCTCTCCCTCCCCCTCCACCATCACTTCCTGTCATTCTCATAGGGCCAGGAACAGGGTGTGCTCCTTTTCGTGCATTTATTGAGGAACGAGTGATACAATGTGAGAGCGGCCCAACAGCTCCTATTCTTTTTTTCTTTGGTTGTAGGAACCAAGAAAATGATTTCCTTTACAAGGAGTTTTGGTTATCTCATGCACAAAAACAAGGTGTGCTATCAGTAGAAAAAGGTGGGGGTTTCTTTGTCGCTTTTTCAAGAGATCAACCAAGAAAGATCTATGTGCAGCATAAGATGAAGGAAGTGAGTGAAAGGATTTGGAGCTTGCTGAGTTCTGGAGCTGCAATTTACTTAGCAGGATCATCAACTAAAATGCCAGCTGATGTAACATCTACCCTGGAAGAAATTGTAGCAGAAGAGAGTGGTGCTTCAATGGAGTCAGCATCTAGGTGGCTCAAGATGCAGGAGAGGGCTGGTAGATTCCATATTGAGACATGGTCATGATTGCTTAAACTATATGTCCGGAGGAATTGTTTTCTCATTTCTGATACCAGAAAGAGGACGCAAACATAGAACTGTCCACTACAACATACGTAAGCATATCTAGGGTACCTCATTGGAAATTATTGTCACCTGTATCTATTTGTTTGGTCATTCCTGGTCATATCAGCTGATGGTTAGTTTTAAGTAAATCATCCTTTTTCTCCTGGAAATCAATTATGTCTTCAAGTTTAGGCTATGGTTCTTTTGCCCCGTGTTTCTTCATTTTTTTGCTTTATGAGTCTATGTGCCCTTCTCTTGATGTTATTTTGAGGAGCTTATGTTCTTGTATTTTGTCTTTTAGTTCTTTGTTTTTTTTTTAATTCTTAAGGGTGGGAGATGTGTGGAGGCAATTATTCTTTATGAATGGCTCTTTCAATGACAACAAGTGTTGATTGGACAATATTGGAAGTAAGTTGTTGTTGACCTGTATACGGCAGTCTAAAGAAAACAAAAAAATTTCATTTCGCGTACCTCCCCGCACGTCGTTTGCACGTCGAAGCCACGCTTGAGTCGTTTCACCCCACGATCTCCTCTCCGCGACGTTAAAAGACCGAAGAGAGGGATTCGGCTGCTCTCTCTCCCGATCTCTCTCGTTTTCACTCGCTCCGCTCTCTCCCTGGACGGAACGAAAGTTACGACACTTTGGTCGGAAGCTACAACGTGAGCTCGCTTGCTGTGAAGGATCGGAGGTCACGACAGTTTGATCGGAAGTAAGAACGGGATCCCGCCACTTCTTCTACTCCTCCGTGCTGTTCGTCTGCTCCCTCGACGACGTTCCCTACAAGTTGGATCGGAAGTTACGGCATTTCGTGCAGAAGCAACTACAGGAGCTTGCCGACTGTGAAGTTAACTTACTCCCTTCGAGCGCTTCTTCGCATCCATCGTTGCTGGTCGACTTCGCTCACTCTCCGACTTTCCCTTCCCGTCAATTCGGAAGTTACGACATTTTGATCGGACGGAGCAAAGGGAGCTCGCTCCTTCGGCACTCCCATTGCTGTTCGACTACACTTCTCCGACAACTTTTCCTTCGGTCGGATCAGAAGCAATAGCCGGAGCTAGCTTGCAGTGAAGGTAACTTTCTCCTATTCGCACGCTACTCCGGCCAAATCCCGTGTATCCGCCAAATCAGAGAGAGGGGAGGGAGAGATGTATTTTTTAATTATAGTTAATTATATTTAATTTTAATTAAATGATTATAACTAATTAATATTTTTTAATTAATTATAATTAAATTTAATTGAAATTAATTTTAATTAATAATTTTTTTAATTATTATTAATTAATCATTATTTATTAAAGTTAATTAATATGAATTAATTATAATTAATTAAATTTAATTATAATTAATTATTTTTAATTATGTTCCAAATCCCATTCTCTGCGTTTGCAGCAGACCGGAGAACCACCTATACGCGCTCTTATAGCACGGTAAGAGGGAGCCCGGTGCGAAGCATACGGCAATGTGGGTGAGCCCTATACACGCTCTTGTAGCGTGGTAGGGAGAGCTACTGATGTTCTCGTACGGGTACTGCTGAAGGCCCCATACACGCTCTTGTAGCGTGGTGGGATGAAAACTTGTACGGCCACGATGTCTAAGGACACCTACCATACACGCTCGAGTAGCTTGGTGGGAAGGCTCAGCTCCCCTAATTTCCCCCAAACAGGGGATATGTCGGGGTGCTGCCGAAATTTTCACCGAAATGTACAAAGCCTGAGCAATTTGAAGACATCATTTGAGCAATAGTACAGAAGACCTGCACTTGAACAAAAAATGCACAGAACTTGAACTAAATGAGCAGAGGACTTGTATGAAGAATAGATGACTTGAGGACTTGAATACGAACAAAACCTAAATGACTTCTAAAAGGTCAAATCCAAATAAAATAAAATCAAATTGGAGCTAGATTCAAATTAATTTGAACATGAAAATGAATCTGCAAAGACTCCAGAAGACCTTGAATAAAAAGTGAACATGCAATTGAACTCAAAGGACTGTAGGGGACTTGAACAAGACTAGTACATCAAACAAAGACTTTGATTTGGATTGAGTCTGAGCTTGAACAAGCATCTACACTCAAATAAAATAAAGCAACAAACAGACTTATAGAAGTCCTAAACTCGAATCAAATGATAAAAATCTTGCTGCCGAAGCCAGTCAACTTGAAAGTGAATTTGTAAGTTCAAGCTGGGTTCAAACTCGACATGAGCAATAAAGAACTTGAACCTTCAAGAACAAGAAGGGACTCAGTCTTGCACTTGATTCGGACAAGGAACCTGAACTCGCACTTGACCTCGTACTATACAACAATAAGTGGGAGTTGTAGACTCGATGAACTCGAGTCTAAATGAAACTTAACTCGAACTCAAACATATACAAAGGGCAAAGTTTGAATCATGTGCGAGGGAATTCAAACTACAAGAACATCTGTATGGTCAATAGTGACTCAAAGTAGGTTACAAGACCTTGATGCATGAACTTCTACGACAATCCCTACAAATGCCTGTAGATTGAGATGGCAATATTGTCAATTGATATTAGAAGATTCGTCCTTGCAAGCAAGTACATCAAACCCACCTGAGATTGGTGAAAAGGTGGATATGGTGGAAGGACAATGGTTCTTCTACAAACGCTTCCAGGAGGTCATAGTGGATACAACGATTCCCTGCAAACGAACACTTGTGGATAACAACAATGTGTTGCAAGTACAATGAATCACTGTGGACACAAGTACGGATCCTTGCAAATGAATACTTGTGGATAACAACAGTATATTGTAAGTACAATGAACCACTGTGGGCACAAGTACAGTCATCACCTACGACAACTGTGGTTAAGATATCCAAGTACGTCGGGTATAAGGGCATTTCGATGTACAAAGAGGACACCTCCTGACAGAATGAAAGAAATGTTTGAACAAATTAGAACTAAACTGCCTGGTGTTCCATAGTCTTTTCTTAGTTCTATACTTAAGAAGAAAATAGTTCTGGTGTCCACAAACACCAGAAATAACAAGTCTAATATATTAATGATCCTGAAAAGAGTCCATTTCAAGGCAGCAGCCACGGATTTCAAGAAGAACTTCCCCGGTGATTGATAAAGGGAGTCAATGTCAAGATGAGGAAATACCTCATGACATCCAAATAACGACGCCACCGGATCCGCAACACTCATACTAGCGGACATAAGGCGTCTATAAATACTTTCAAAATACATCTGCACATGCACTATAAACTGTATACACATAGGTACACTAAAGGGGTATATAAAAATCACCCGCATGGGCCCCGACGAGCGTGTTATTGGTACAGACGTGACGCCTAGGGATGTTGCACGGGTCAATAAGTGAATTCAAGTTCAAACCTGATTCTTCTATACGGATGACGGATCAATAGAAGTCGACAGAGGTCGAACTCTCAAATAGATACATAGTTGTGGCGATCAGTGTATTCGTTTTAATACATTAATATTAGGCCTTCAAAGCCTACAATCAAAAGAATTCACTAAACAAAAGGCACGAAGCCTACGAAACCAGATCCTCCTAAGCATGTAAATAGGAGTAGACAAGGTTCAAACCATCGGATAAATATGCGGTCACGAAGTCGACCGGAATATTTATCTTATACATTCATATTCGGCCTTCAAGGCCTTCAACAAAGAAAATTCATGAACAAAGGCATAAAGCCTACGAGAAACCCGATCCTCGAGCAACAGCTTGGTCGAGTTGACAGGGTTCAATCAATAAAGGAAAATAACCCCCCAAATACCTCGATGATGGCCGTGTTGAATGCAAATCTCAACTGGAGGGGTTCACAAATATTTTCAAATGCCTCTCAAAAGTCCACTCAAAATCCAAAAATTCGAAAGATCATCCATAATCCAGAAATCCAAAGATATTTAAAACTGAAATAAATTCATCAATAACTTAAAGCAAAATCCATCCTTCCTCCGTAACAATTTGCTGGAGTGGACAAATTAAAAACTACTTCAGCTAACAAAGAGTCAAATGCCTAGTCAAAAATATCACTATGATCCATTTTCAAACAATCTCTTGCCAGTAAGGACGTGGTACTTGTCCTATAACCGGCGGTTTTGCTGCTAAATGGCATCGCAGGATAAACGATTATGACGACCCGGGGCCCTCTGAACCGAGTGGTTTTGCCTCCAAATGGTACGACGAAATACCGGTTATGGCCAGCGCCGATACGTTCCTTATTGGCATCAAATCCTTGAGATATGAATCAATATGATATGATTGATAGGGCGCAAAGCCCTCTGTTAGCTGAGGTGGATTTAAATTTATCCCCTTAGGCAAATACCCATCTCAGGTCTACAAGGTCCCCTTGGACGAAGCAACCCATGACTGCCGACAAGGATCCTTCTGTCAGGTTGGGTCGACTACCTCCTCTGACTAAGTAGACCAGGGACCACGATGGCTCGGTACGACGGAACCATTGGATCTTGATCGGTCTATCATCCATTCCCCCACCATCCGCTTTAAGTGCAAGATGGTGAAATTTCTACTTTTAAATATCAAATTCCAAATTCAAGCCCAATTTTCAAATCCAAATCCATGCTGCTACTATATGCCAAATGCACGTATATCTATACAAATTTGATTGATGACTAGCCTTAATCGAAAGTTCTCTCTCGTGATCGAGAGGGGTAATTAACTATAGGGGTTTGCGCCTATAGGAAACCAAAACTCAGATCATAAAGTCCTCGCAAAATGAGGGCGAATCTCTGGGTAGTGTCTTATCTACAAACCCATCTGCCTTCCAAAATTTACCCCGGAACTTATTCCGTTAAAACTCCCCTCGCCAAAGAAAAAGCAAATCAATCAGTGCGCGATGGGGAGTCCGGGGCCGAATTTTCGGAGCCCAAAGTTGTGGCCTCAACATCCCAACGAGCTAGACTATTAGTAGGATGATACTTAAATATATTGATGAAAAGTTTAGTATTATCTTGCCATCATAGTTATTGTTTTAGAAACTTTGCTTCATTATTTTGCTATTTTGAGGAAATTATTAGGTGCGGACAAACATATAGCTTTATGTGTGGAGGACCATTAGTAACTCGATAGTTGTACAACAATATCTTTAATCAATTTTATAATATGTGGTCTGATCCGAAAGTTAAAAATTATGGATTTTGGAATTTTCTTGGCTATGGCATTTTCTTTGCAAGAAGAGAAACATAGAGCATTAAACTCCATAAATGATTGCCAAGAAATTGAACCATGTGATTACTCGAGATTTTTTCAATTAAATTAGAAGAAATGAAGATCATTTCAATAAATAGATTACCCGAGATTTCTAAAAAAATAATTGAAAGAATAAAGGTCATTTCATTAAAGGTTGAAGATTTTAAAATTCCCACAATGAGTTTCTTCTTAAACAACTTGAATTTCTCTCGACTATAGTCTCGTAAAAAATGAAACTTTTCATAAAAGTGTTTGGCATCTATTCATTTTTCCTTTATTTTATTTGCTTGACATAGTAATTTTGACATTTTTTAAATAATTTTAGGTTTAAATGCTTGTTCTTTTATTTATACTTTGTTCCTACCTATGTAAGGTGATTTGGAGGAGTTTTTTCTTCCTTTACGCTAAAAATAATGAAAGACTTATACATAGTTATGAAAAATTATGAAAGCCTTTAAAACAAATTGGGTGCAGTAAACATTTTTTTTATAGGTTTTAATGTTAGATTCTACCAAGTTTTGCGCTTGCATTGCTGTATACAACCCTTAAAACTTAAAGTAAGGCATGTACACTGTTTTGCAAATATTTTGTTTTTAATGTTACACATTATTGCATACTTGTGTTTTATAATAAGTTATCACTCTCCATTTTGTCCAAAGCTGTGTATATCCCTCCAAATTTAAAAGGTTGTACATTACTTTTTACATGTTTTTATTGGCAAATTATTTCATTAGTGGCCGTGTTCAAATTTGTGTGCATCCCTATAAACTCAAAGGATTGCACATAATTAGTTTAAGTATATTTTTTACAAGTTATTTTATTTTTGGTGCAGTACACAACTATGTACAACCCTCTAAACACATATACAATGACACATATTTGTTCTGGCTAGTCATCCTTCATTGCTCATCTCATCTTGGATAAATTCATTAGGTTTGGATAAAGTATGTAGTTCTACTTGTCAAGAGCTACTAGTGGCTCAACAATTGTACAATAATATTTTTAATTATTTCTATAATACCCAACCCAACCTAAAGTTGAAAAATAGGGTTTATGAAATATTCCTTTCCAGGCCAGTCTCCTTTGCGGGGAAAATAACATGGATCATTAAACCTTGATATTGGAAATTATTGCCAAGAAATTAAACATGATCACTCGAGATTTCTCCAATGCATTTAGAAGGAACAAAGACCATTTCAATAAATATTTCTACTATGAAGCTAGAATGAATGAAGAAGCTGTACAATAGAATTGGCAATATTTTTCATTTATTCACTTTATATCTTTAAACATGTTTAAATGTGTGTTCTTTCATTTATGGTTTGTTCCCACTAAAGTTAAGGTGATTTCGTGGTATTCTTCAATCATTTTGTAGTCAACAATAATAAAAATAAGGGTTATACACAATTATTTATAATTATTAAATACTCTTAAAATAAATTGCAGTCAAGTGTACACAATGGTGTATGAGTATGAAAATCTTAAAATATATTATAGGTACACTTCAAATTTTTGTGCTTAGTTGTGTATAATCCTTTAAACTTTAAGTATGGCCTATACACAACTGTTTTTTGCCAAATTATTTCATTTTTAATGTTGTACACAGTTGTGTGCAATTGTTTTATGATAAGTTATTTCATTCTTGGTGTTGTACACAACTATGTAGACCCTCCAAACTCAAATGAAAGGTTGTAAACATCTTTATATAAGTTTTTTTTTTGACAAATTCATTCTTGTGTTATTCATTCGTATACAATGGTGTTTAGTCATATACATTCAAAAGATTTTATACTGTGTACATATATTTTTAGCAAGTTATTTTCATTGTTTGTGTTTTACCTAACTATGTACAACCCTCCAAATTTAAAGGAAATGTTTTACATAATTGTGTATAAGTGTTTCATGCTTAGTTATTTAATTCTAATTGTTGTGCATGATTGTGCACTTTCCTTTAAACTTGAAATAAGGATTATTTATAATTATATACATGCATTTTCTAACAAGTTATTTCATTATTAGTATCATAGGCAATTGCACATAACTATCTAAACTCTTAAAACGCTTTATACCATTGTGTACAGTTATTTTATGACATGTCATTTCAGTATAAATGCTCTACATTTGCAACCATGAATAACCTTATAAACTCAAAGTAAGAGTTGTATATAGTTGTATATAAGTGTTTTATGACAACTTATTTATGTACATAGCTATGGACAACCTTTTAAACTCAAAATAAGAGTTGTAAATAGCTATGAAAAATTAATTTTGTTTGTTACTCTCTAAACATAATTTAATAGCTGTATATAATTTTGTACATGTGTTTATAAAACAATATTTCATTTTAGCTAAGTTACACAACTTTATTGCCCTTTACACTCATATTAAGGGTTATAGATAACTATGCATGACAAATTATTTTATTATTGGTGTTGTACACAACTATGTACAACCCTTTAAACTCAAAGAAAGGTTGTACATAGCTGCGCATTGGTTTTTGATATCCCTTGGTATCAAAAACAACCAATAAACCAATACAAATTCAACAAACATCAAATTTTATTGATAAGAAAGGAAATACAAACAAACAAGATATAATGATCCTCTTTTGAGAGGAGGACCGTCTCTCCCAAACCTTAGACGCCGCTAGGATCCCTCACAAAAATAATGGACATCAAACACTCACAAAATTAGGAAACATCTTTTAATTAATCTCCTCCAAATCAACCCCTAAATTAGCCCTTTTTAATTAAGAAACATCTTCTAATTAATCCCCTCCAAATCAAAATTCAAATTAGATCTCTTGACCTAAATAATTCCCTCATAATTGTAATTAAATTTTTCTTAAATAATTTTTCTTTGATTAAGAATATTCCTAAATAGCTTCCTCTTGATTAGAAAACTTATTAATTCCCTCCCATTTAAATCGACTAGTCCATCAATACTTCTCTCCCAAATTGCCACATTGTGCTCAAGATGGAACGAATGAAACTGTTACTAAATCACCAGACTAATAGCATTGGAGTGAAAAATGGACTATCACTGGGTCGAATGATCCCTGTCTCTAGCATCTTCCTGATTAATCTCTTGATCTCATCCTTCTAGAGTTGGGGAGAATGATACGGATGAACACTGATATGTGAGACTCATTCCTTCAAAATGATAGCATGCTCATGTTCCCGCTAAGGAGGCAGCCTCTGAACTGGCTGGAACACCGCTCGATACTGTTGTAGGAGTGGATGAATCATGTCTGGTGCTTCTATCTTCTCCCCATCTTTTTCTCCTTCCAAACTTTTCAGCTCCACCAAAAATCCCACTTTTTCACCATTTCCCCTCCTTGGAAGTGGCTCCAAAGGTGACATTTCCTCTTCTTCCCCCAAAATTTCCACCTCCCAGTCATCCCTCTTCAAACTCCTCCTGATCTCATTTCCCTTTGATTCGGCCAAGGGAATCTCGGTCAAATCTTGGTTATGTTTAGTAATCTGAACTGTCAGTGGAGTTTCGGATTGCATCTCCATGAGCTTTCTTAACATCTCCTCCACCCTTTCCAATCGGTTTTCCATAGATGTAAACCTTCTTCCATGGTTGAGAACTTTTTCTTCACATCATATTTGATTTGCTCCATCTTCCTTCCAACGCCTCCACATTCTTTGCTGCCATAGGTCTAAAAAAAGTGCTATGATATCGATTTGTTACGCCTTGATATAAACAATAGCCAACGAACCAATACAAATTCAATGAGACTTATAACTCTATTTATAAGTTGCCCAAAATATTTGGGGAATTGCAACTTTATCCGGCAGGCATGACGGCATGAAAGGTGTCTGATGACCTTGCCCTCTAGGCAAAGGCGGCTCATTTGGGTGAAGTGTGGCCTGCATTCATTGAAATGACCGAGTATGATCATTCCAAACTTTAGTATGAGTATTAAAATTAATAGCACGGTTTGTTAACATATTAAGCAGGTTGGGTTGTCTTAAATTTAAGGTTATCTTTAAATACGGGTCTAACGATTTTGAATTGTGGCTTAGATAGCCCGATGGTGGCAACTCTCCAAGATCCTTGGATCAATTAGATGTCAGTAGGGCTGAACTCATTGGGTCTTCGACCTGTAAGCCCGGTCAATCGAGTCAACATTACTAAAAAGTTTCATCTCAAATACGTTTTTTATATAGTTATGCCCTAAACTTCACTGTTGACTACTGAAGCAGACATAAGAGCAAATCATGAGTTTGTGGTTATTGTTTTATTTATTTATTTATTCTTAATATGCATTCATGCCTTAATGATTGTTATTTCTTGCACAGCCCCTAAAATACTTCCTTTTAATTTTCTGTTGATACTCGCAGGTATACCATTCCAGTTTTGTTGATGAGGAGGGTGTAACCAAAGCCTGTGGCTGTCCTCTTCTCCCACTAAAAACTCACATCAAGGGTCCTGCTCCAGTCTCTGATCAAGGTTTCCTCAAGAAACTAATTCTTTCATCCAAAGTTATCTTCCGGGTGATTTTTGCTTCTAGATTCTACTCTTAGGCTTCGTTTGGGACGACTTTCTTAATGCTTAAAACATCTTTTTAATATAAAAATTTCTTACTGCTTCGTTTGGGAAAACTGTTTTAAGAAGCAGTAAGAAAGCCGTCCCAAACGAAACCTTAATCATCACCATTCATGTTTTTTTATTGTTTTTGCAGACAAGATCGATATTGTTGATGAATCAATCTCCTTCTTTCGAGCCAATGTCTTCTTCAGAAACTTTGACATTAGAAGCTCTGCAGATAAGCTACTCATATACCTTACATTTTACATTAATTTGGCCTTGAAAAGACTTGAAGGCTGCAGAACATTGGCTATAGGAACCAAAGCAATCATTAGCCTGGGCCTTGAAAATGTTCCAGTACCTGGAGAGCAAGGCTTTCCTTTTCCTGGGCTCTTTACCTTCCCACAATCACCACAAGAAGCAGGCATAACTTACATGCTTCTTTTATGACAGTAGTTGTTTTTGGCTCTTTAATATTGATCTAAAAGTCTTGAAAATCTTATTTTTGAAAACGCAGAGCTCTTCAGGAATTATCTAAAGCAGATAAGGGAGGAGACAAGTGGTAGGCTACTTAGCTGCGCTTACAGGTCTAATGGTACTCCTAACAAATGGTGGCTAGCTTTTGCAAAAAGAAAGTTTGTGAACATTATTGTTACTTGAGGAGGTTAGTTTTTTTTTTTCATTTCCATTTCCATTTCATAGCTTAAAAACTAGCAAATATGAGGTTGGACTCTGGATTCATTTTCTTGTTCTCACATTTGGTTTAACTTGTTTTGGTTAATTATGATGATTTTAACTCTGTTGTTACCACTTTCTTCTACTGTTCATTTGAGATTATTGTAATTGTTCAAAATTAGTTGTGAAATTGTTGCGGAAAATATCATTTTTAGGAGCTATTAAGATGTTTTGTATATTTTTCCTTAGAAAAATTTCAGATGATAACTTTTTTAGAAATATTAGACTTAAGTAGATATATTTGTGAGAGATTTTTCACTACAGAAATTAAAAAAAAAATTTATAAGTAAATATAAATATGATAGCAGTATATAAAACTAAGGCTTTGTTTGGATGGCTTTTTTCCTGCTTCTTAAAGCAGCTTTTTATTACAAAAAATAAAAAATTTGTACTAAAAACTCGTTTCAAGTAGTAGTAAAAAAGTTGTTCCAAACGAGCCTAAGTTTCAAGCGAGTGAAGTAATGCATTTGATTGAATTTGGTGTGGTGCTAATGCATTACAGGTCTATGTATATGCCCTCTTTTTTATATTATATTTCTTGCTTTTATGAATAATATTGACATGCTTTCTTTTGAAATTTAAAATATTTAAACTAGTGTGATTTTTGCATGGGAGTTGAATGAGTTTGCACTATGTGCAGAAGTTTAAGGGCATCTGCAACCTAACCAAATTTCATTCGCTTATCATCTGATTGCAGTTGCCGCAAATTTTCACCCGAATCTCAAACATAAATGCCTTTGTATTTTCTCTCTGTTGTGCGCGATGCGACATCAATAGTGGCATCGCACAGTTTGAAAAGTGAAAATGACAAATGCATGTTTGTAGTTATCACGAGCCTCCATTGGAACGTCAAACTTACAATGTTTATATATATATATATATTTCAGTTGTGAACAGTGCGATGTCAGTACAATATTGACGTCACATTATTCTTAGAAATACATTTTTTATATGAAAAGAGAGGAGAAAGATTTAAAAATATACACAATTTTTTTTTTTTTGATGTTAAAAATGAAATTTGATTGGAGATGAATTACTCTTTTTTATGAATGTTATTATCAAAATCCTTCGTCCTACTTTCATGGGACTATTGACGGTCTATTTTAATTATATAAAAGTAGCATACAGTTTTAGATTAATGAATATGATAATTTTTTAATCAATTTTAATAATATTAATCAAATTATAATTAGCATATATTAATATTTAATTTTAAAATTATTGATAATTATAAATTAATTAAATATTATAATTTATCACTAATCAAATTAATTTAAAAAATATATTAATGTATTTATATTAATATATTTTAAATGAAATATAATGATTATTAATATTAACTAAATTTCCTAATTAATGTAATTATTTAATTAATACCCAATAATATTATGAAATTTGGAAATTATCAAAATTTATATATATATATAAAACTTCTTTTATTTTGTTAATTTTTAGAAGTTCAGTACTCCAAAGTCGCCACATGGTTGAATCGTTGGTCTTTCTTCGCAAAATTCCCGACACCTTCGGCGGTGGGAGCCCATCGGAGATGCATTTAAGTGACCAGCGCTATGCAAGGGAGTAAGATGAATTCGTGAGAGACTATCGTCCAAATGACCTAATGCCCGGAATTTACGGCTGAATGAAGAAGGTGCTATATTTATTAAAGTTTCCATTTTTGTTCTTAAATCCTCCAACATCCCTTCTTGTTTGGCTGCTACCGGTGCCTGATGTGGAGCCTTGATAACCTCAATGGAGACTTCGCCGCCGACTCTGTTGAGATCCGCAAGGTATGGGACTCTAACCTGGAGGAGGAACTCTCTCTCATCCGCTCTATTGTCACCGACTACCCCTTTCATCTCCATGGACACCGATTTTCCCGGCATCACAATTATCCCCGTCGTCACTTCTCCGACTTCATTAATATAATTCAATTACCAGACTCTCCAACTCAACATCAACATCCTCAAACTCATCCAACTCGACATCGCCTTCTTTGACTCTTCAGGCCATCTCCCTCTCTTTGGGTCTCCCCCTCGCCCATGCATCTGGCAGTTCAATTTTCGCGAGTTCGACACAGCAGGGGACATCTTCGGATTATTGTCCTCTTTCTCATAGGTTCAAAGGATGTTATTGAATTATTGTCCTATTGACCAGTCAGTGGTGATTGGGATAGATCTTGAGAAGGTCAAAGGTGTTGTAGGAAATTATCCCAAGAGGTTTGGAGTCAAGGGATTGGAGCTTTGAGCAAATCCATGAAGTTGGAGAGGGTCTTGACCCCTCCAAATGGGTTGACCAAGTCAACCCATGGGGAGTTTGACTTGGAAAGTTTTGAACATGTCAAGGATGTCCAATTGAATGATTTTGAGGGGTTGATTTGATTTAAAATGGATTGAATTTGATAAGTGTTGAGTTAAGGGTTGATTTAGTCGACAACCATGGTTGACTTGGTCAACATGGTTAAACCATAGGTTGAGTTAGGGTCAAACAAGTTCAAATGAGTGTTTTGAGATAAATGGAGGTGGTGCCATACATTGGTAATATCATTTTGTTGGAAATGGATGTTTAAATCCATTAAGGGCATTTTGGTTAATCATGATTGACTTGGTCAACTAGGTCAAACCAAAAGGTGGGTTTGGATCCAATGTATTCTTAATGATGTTTAGGATCAATTGGGATAGGTTTTGAAGGTTGATATGAGAATGTGATGTTGGATTTTGGGGGAAAATACCAAAAACCCCCCTTTAAAGGGTATTTTGGTCATCTTGACAACTGATCAATCATGGGCCAAAATGGATTTGAGAAAGTACAATTTATTGGTCAAAAAGTCATAACAAAAGTGATGGATGTGATTTTCGGGGGGGGGGGTTTGGAAAGGGTTCCAAAGTCAAAGGGGGGGGGGGGGTTTGGAAAGGGTTCCAAAGTCAAATTCCAATGGATGGTAAGTCCAGTGGCATAGACTATAAATATTTAAAAGTTTTGGAGCCTGTGAGAAAAAAATCAATTTCTAGGAGTAGGGACCTCAAAATGTGTCTAAATTTGGAGGGTTGAACCTAGAGACATGTTTGTTCCATATGTAACTAACAAATCATGAATCAGATGTCATTTGGCTGGGTTTCAAGGTAATGGAAAAACCACCCAAAGAGGGTTTCAGGATCTGGGTTCTTAACCTTAAGACTTGGTTTGGAAACTTGGGTTTAGATTAGATTTTGAACTTGAGTGGTTGAGTTTAAATTATCCACATTAAAGATGATCAAATAAGTGAGTAAAATTGATTGGATATGATTTGAATGTTGATTGAATGTTGGTAGAAGGCTGGATCAGATATTGAATTGAAGGGTAGAACTGGATTTAATTAGATTGAGATTTGGTTTTGACTGGGATCTATATGGGTGAGGAGTGGACATCTCCTAGTCATCAGGTCACCAGAGAAAAACCGGGGTAGGTCCTGATGACCTCATACAAAAATGAGGTCAACACACTTATAAAAATTTATTGATAATGCAATAGCATATTCAAGCAAATGACCTTCATAGGTCGAAAAGACACCAACATACATTTACATGTATAAACATCAGACTTGCATTTGTTCATTCAAGTAATTATTTCAAAATAACTTCACCTAGGAAGCAAAAATGATATGTTTTCCCTACCTTGAGAATTTACATCATTAGCTTCTTTCTCCATATTCTCCATACCACAAACGGCAGACTTGCATTTAGAGCAGCTTGATATTTAGTTCCAATTCTTCCAGGCATTCCTCCAGTATCGAGTTTCTAAAATTTGATTAACATCTATGAGATAGATATAAAAAAAGGTCTTTTGACGACAACGACAAGCATTTAACCCACTGTTACATGAATCCTTTTTCTCCATTGTGTCCTTTTGACAAGAATAAATAAAAAATAATAATTCAAAAGTTGGAATTAGGAAGTAGTCATTCACTATTCTCAAAGAATGAGCATCTTTCCTTACTACTTTAGTGGGATTTGGATTCTTTCCATTGCTTTCTGACAAAGGAGGTGGATACGATGGTTCTACTTATCCTCAACTTTAGGAAAAGAAAATATTACTTTAGGAAAAAATGTTAAAAACGTCTTATAGAGAGCTTCTACCTTAGGCCAAGTGCGTTAGGAATAAATAGCAACGTACGTATATATATATATATATATACTTCTAATTTATCTAATATTTGCTTTTCTCCGTTGTGAACGAAAAATTATTGCGTCCTCCCACCTGACGTAGAGATGTGTCCTCCCATCGCCAAAAAACTCGGTTTTTGCTCGGTATTGCTAGGTATTATTTGGTAATAACGACGAATATCATCATGTGAAGACCAACACCGTGTTATACCGAGCTATACCGAGCAATACCGAGCACATACCGAGTTTTCTCTAGGAAAAACTAGGTATTTTTTTCTATAGCTCGGTATAGCTCGGTATAACTCGGTATTGGTCTTCACATGATGATATTCCTCGTTATTGTTTGGTATTGCTCGGTATTTGCTTGGTATTTCTCGTTTTTTAGCGCGATTTTAGCTCTGGGAGGACGCATCTCTACGTCAGGTGGGAGGACGCAATAATTTTTCGTTGTGAACAATGTGACGTCAAATATGCTGTCGCATTATTTATAGAAACACCATTTTTATATAAAAAAGTGAGGAGAAAAATTCAAATAATATATACAAAATATTCTTCTTTGGTGTTAAAAATAAAGTTTGCTGGAGATGAATTACTCTGTTGTATGAATGTTTCTACACTTAATAAGTTTGTTAGAGATTTTAGCCCAAATGGCATAATGCCATGAATTTAAGGATGAATGGAGAAGGTGTTGCATGCATTTATTAAAGTTGTCATTTTTGTTCTAAATCCTGCAACCAAATAGCCCTTCCCTGTTTAGCTGCTACTGGTGCCTGATGTGGAGCCTCGATTACCTAGATGGCAACTTTGCCGCAGACCCTGTTGAGATCCGCGAGGTATGGGACTCTAACCTGGAGGAGGAACTCTCTCTCATTCGTTCTATTATCGCGGATTACCCCTTCATCTCTATGAACACCAAGTTCCCCGCCTTCCTAATTCCCTCCGCCATCACTTCCCCGACTTCATTCGTATTCAATTACCAGAATATCAAAAGCAACATCGACGCCATCAAACTCATCCAACTCGGCCTCACCTTCTTTAACTCTTCAGGCCACCTCCCTCACTTCGGCTCTCCCCCTCGTCCTTGCATTTGGCAGTTTAATTTCCGCGAGTTCGACACAACAAGGGACATCTTCGACCGCAACCATATGGACTTTCTCCGCCGCAGCGGCATGGACATAGAAAAGAATCACCTCCTCGGCGTCACCGCCGATCACTTTTCCGAACTCATCATCTCATCCGGCATCGTGCAGAATAATTCCGTCCAATGGATTACTTTCCACAGTTATTTAGACCTGGGATATCTTCTCAAAACGTTAACTCGCCACAATCTACCGGACTCTCATGAGGGTTTCTTACGTTCTGTGCTGCGGTATTTTCCTAAAATCTATGACATCAAGACGTTGATGAAGCTCTGCAACAACCACTCTCCACGCGTGTTGAATAAGGTCGCGGAGGATCTTGGATTGAATAGAGTGGGAAGATACCACCAAACTGGATCAGATAGTTTGCTCGTCGCTGCTGTTTTCAGGAAGTTGAAAGATCATTTTTTTCTTAGATCTATCGAGAGATACGCTGGAGCTTTACGTGGTCTTAGCCTTGATTGAACATGATCCATTATTAGCAATAATAGATTTGAATAAAACAAATTAATTAGTTGTTTAAATTTTTGTAATGAAAATAAATTTGGGCCATCCCCTTTTATTTTCTATGGGAATTTTTTTTTTTGGTGGCGTACTAAATATTGGTTTTTTTTTGGTGTTTTTAATAAAATTTATTGCTTTCATGTCCCTAAATATACATGGTCATAAGTGAGCTATTTTATAATAACAATTTAAATTCTGGCTATCGGCTACTAAATGCTACAAAAATATTAATTTTTAATAGCATATGATGTAGTACAAAAGTTTTGTATAATTGTATCTACATATCTAGAGCAGCTAAGAATAAACTTATATTTCTTACTATTTCTTAAAACAACTTTTTAATGTATTTTTTTTTTATTTGAGAGTTTCTTTAAGAAGCAGTAGGAAAGCCGTCTCAAACGAAGCTTAAATCTTTGGAACGATTGGCTCTTTTTATATAACACCTTTGAATTCTTAGGAGATTGATGAATAATTTTATTAAATCAAACATTCAAACCAGGCTACACAACTATTGCATTTTTCTCTTATTTTTTAATTAGTCGTGTATAAAACAAATTCTATAACACTCAAAGTATCCTCAAATATTTGGCCAATTCTTAAACACTCAAACCCAAACCTATAAATAGGGGGCTGAAGGGAGACCTCAATTTTTGTATTTTTTATAATTAAGTTTATTTATTAAAATATTAGATATTCTCAATCTAGAATCCTTCTTTTTTCTCTCTCTCTCTCTCTCTCTCATTTTATTTTATCATTTCACTATGATTAGTATAATTGGGTGTAACAACTATAGGCAAAGTGCCTCCACATCATTTATTCAGAAAGAATTCATCCACAAGTAATGCTTTGTGACATGTTGACTTGAAACTTTGAATGTAAACACCCAAAAAGAAGTATATATTTACTTGAAACATCATTCATTATCAAGTTGCATATTAAATAATTAATCTCCCTCGATTTTTTCCAGTATAAATAAAATGGTAATTATAAAATAATGCTTTGGATGACTCTCTCATAAACATGATAGCTTGCTCATGATACCGTTATCTCTCTTCATATTTGATATGATAGTTTTGACTTTAAATTAATTAGTTTAAGATCTCACACTCTTCTATTTGATTATGTGTTTAATGAGCCATATTTGAGCTTGTTAGTAGTCTTTCATTCTAACATCTAAAGTGCAAGTATGTTATGATTTACGGCTATTATTCTAAAAAATATTTGGCTTTGCTAACTACTTGGCTTTTAAGGTTTAAAAACACTTTTTTTTAATGTGTAATCGACATAACATATTTAGGCTTGTTTTTTTCACTTTCAATGAAATTTATTTTTCATGGCATCTAGATTTATTACCCACTTTAACTCTTCGTCACCTTAAATTGTCCAAGCATCAAGTCAAATGAGATCAAACTTGAATGTAATGCCATTATATATATATATATATATATATATATGTTGCGG